AAAAAAAAAAAAAAAAAAAAACTGAGTGGTTTTTTTTTTTTTTTTTTAAGTAATAGTTATGGTTTGTTTGAATATATACTCATTCTATAGCGTTTGAGTAATCACTTTGTAACAGTGATCAGATTGGGTCTATATTATGTCATGATGTTAAGGATCCTGTTTCTCCTGGATATTTTAAACCTTCTTAGCATCTTTGATAGGCATTCAAAAAAACCAAAGTTCTAAATTTCTTGGACTTTGCTATTTCCAGTTGGTTCCCTGGAAATGTCAAAGGATATATGCCTCATCTTGCAGAAACACCAATAAGGCTATTTGGATTATATTAAAGGTGCTATCAAGATGGGAAATGGTGCTAAATTTTAAGTTTTGATAATGTGAAAAGCTACTGATATAAATGTCCAAAAGTTACAGAAGTTTAATGATCTTGTTGTGTTGTTATCGAACATGATGGTTATCTTAATGAGAAAGGCCCAGATGTTGTAGGGAGGCATACAGGATAAAATTGATCAGGTTTGTGAGCCAGAAGACCACGCCTTCACCACACCTTCTCTGTGACCTCATGCCCCTACCTGACCACCCCTGTGTGCCCACCGGCCAATCAGGATAATTAAACACTCCTCTTTGGAAGTGGATTGAAGGCCTGAAACACGGTGGGCCCTGCCGATTTGCTCTTCTGCCCTTTTTGCCTTTTTCCCCTTTCCCTGGATCCGCCTGTTGCCCCGTGCCTTTGAGGCGCATGGCCTTTGGGACACCTGCTCCATGCCTTCCAGCCTGCATGCTCCCCCACGTGGCTGGCTTCTCTGCTCAGTATGAATCCAGATTTCTCTTTCTCTTATATATAGAGCCTCATTCTCCTATGCATTTCTCTCACTAAATAAAAAGCTTAAAACTTATCATGCTGGGGCCGGCGTTGTGGCTCAGCAGGTTAAAGCCCTGGCCTAAAGCACCAGCATCCCATATGGGTGCCGATTCTAGTCCTGGCTGCTCCACTTCCAGTCCAGCTCTCTGCTATGGCCTGGGAAAGCAGTAGAAGATGGCCCAAGTCCTTGGGCCCCTGCACCCATGTGGGAGACCTGGAAGAATCTCCTGGCTCCTGGCTTCAGATCGGTGCAGCTCTGGCCGTTGCAGCCAGCTGGGGAGTGAACCAGCAGATGGAAGACTTCTCTCTCTGTCTCTACCTCTCTCTCTCTTTCAAATAAATAAAAAACTTATCACGCTGCCTGGTTTATTTGTGCCAGTATTCAGAATTCTCTGAATATGTGGCAAGAGCCCACACAACTTGTTAATATTTCAGATTATTAATAAGCAAATCAGTAACAGAGACCTAAAAGGGTTACATGCTTTATAAAATCATACAGGTGCGGGCCGGCGCCGCAGCTCACTAGGCTAATCCTCCGCCTGTGGCACCAGCACACCAGGTTCTAGTCCTGGTCGGGGTGCTGGATTCTGTCCCGGTTGCCTCTCTTCAGGCCAGCTGTCTGCTGTGGCCAGGGAGTGCAGTGGAGGATGGCCCAAGTGCTTGGGCCCTGCACCCCATGGGAGACCAGGATAAGTACCTGGCTCCTGCCATCGGATCAGCGCAGTGTGCTGGCTGCAACGCGCCGGCCGCGGCGGCCATTGGAGGGTGAACCAACAGCTAAAGGAAGACCTTTCTCTCTGTCTCTCTCTCTCACTGTCCACTCTGCCTGTCAAAAAAAAAAAAAAAATCATACAGGTGCTTTCAGAAATCCTGTGTGAAGTCAGCAAGTGCCTCTTCTTGTTGGGTAATGAGTTTATAATTTTTAAACATGGCTATTTCAAGTCTTTTGTCATCCACAGTTTTGTATTCTCCAAACACTAAAAATCAGGTTTATTGCTTATGAAGTTAAAACATTGTTGGTTCTGTGTTTAAATGTGTCCTCTTTCAGATTGCAAAGGACTTCATTTTCCCTGACCTCTATTGTATCCCTGACCTCTTTGGGGCAGTTCTGAAAACAGGTAAAGCCTATAGTTGGACTATAGGTTCCAACTGAGAGAAAGTATGGTTAATTCAGATTACCAAGAGCAGGAAGTAATTCTTATCAACTCATGGTAATTTAAGAAAAAAGTTAAAGATTTTAAGAAGCTATTACTGAAATGTCTTTATTATTCTATCTTATTTTGTTAAATGTGTGTACATATTGTATGTCTACATGGGAAATTTTATTAAGAGCTCTGTTTTAATTTGCCTAGATATAAATTCGCTTATAAATTTAAACTACTAAATTAATCAAAGATACCTTTTTTGGTTCATGTAACTTAAATAAATCTCTGTATTTTAAATTTGTTGGTAGGAAGAAGCTAAACATATTTAAGCCATTGGCATTCTTGTGATTGGGTTTGCTGGTCAAACAAGTTATGCTGTGTTAGGTATTTAAGAGATGTTTCCAAATACATGTACTGTTGTCTCGAAATTTCTAGAAAGCATTGGACATTTTGCTAAATGTTTTTGTACATTGTTTAACAGTTAAAGTTGTTTGCTAGGTTCTCAGTTACTATCAAGTTACTAAGCGTAAGCAATCTAGGAATCCTGACTAGTTTCATCTCTTCAAGGTGGTAAACTGATTCTGTTCCAAAGGACTCTCCGTTGAGATGCATGGTTTGGTCTTTAGACCTTATAAAAGGGATGGCTAACAATTTTCTGTAAGAGCCTGGCTACATATAGAAGAAATTGTGATTTTTCACAGCTAGATATTTATCACCGTGAGCACAGTAAACAGGAAAAACCTCTGTTTTCAAACCAAACAAAGGGAGAGAAAATTTGACTAATGACTTCAAATTTTATAGATAAGATGGTCATCATTGTTTTATGTTAAAATGAGAACATAGCTTTCTTCATGGGCATTGTCTGCTTCACAGAAAAACCACTGTCAGAACATGCCTGTGACTATAGATTTCTAGCTTAGGCCACCAAAAATTAGGAATGGGACTGAGCACCCACTTGACTTGCATCCTCTTAAAGGTTTCCTCTGGTCTACTTTACCAGAAACCAGGAGGAAGAGGAGCAAGCTAGGCAGCAGAAGCAATGTAGGGATAGGTGGCAGGCCAATTATTGGCCACTTTCCACAGTGATCTGCCATCAAGGAGACCCAGTAAGCCAGTCCACCACAAACGGCATTGGTTTTCCATGTGGAAAGCCAGGGCTTCAGCAGAAGTCAGCTTATGCACAGTCCTGGCAGCTCTGCCAGCCAAGAGCTGGGTCACTGGAAACAGAGCTGCCCTGGGGGTTGGAGGACTCCTGGGTCAGAGACACAGACCCTATTGGTTCTAAGCTGGAAAAAGCCCTTCACTTGGCACAGCTTAAAACGTAACCACCACTGTTGGGGAGATGGCCAAGTAGAGTCAGTAACACTGTAGGCTTAACTGTAAATTTCCTTTTAAAGATGTCACCTTGCTTCTATTCAGGCCAGCTCTCCTCCCAGGCCAGCCAGGTAGTGGAAGTCATAACGACTCTCTCCTTTGTTTTAGACCCTGTGAATTTAATCTGCTTGTTAGATTTGTTTTCTCCAGACTTGAAACAGTGAAATTCTAGATGGCCATGCACATGAAACCTTGGACGGAAGCAGTCTGCAGGCTGGCACTGCCTCTCCCTCGAGAAACCTCCTCCTGCTGGAAGCCTGTCTTGATTCCACCCCTACTCAGCTTGAAGAAGCCAAGAGCAGTCATCGCCCAGTTCCCCTAACAGAAGTTAGGGTCCATTCTTCTGGGGGAGGGAACGTGAGGAGTCAGGCAGGTTAATACACAGCTTGGTCCCCGTGGAAATTTAGGGTGCAAAATGCTTGCTTTCCCCAAAAGTTATCTTTAACAAGGTCAAAAGTACCTGCCTGCCCACTCCTTGGAAGCTTCCAATTTTACTGTAAGAATAGCAAGGGAGTGGGAATTCCATCCTCCTGAGCTCACAGTGTATTGTGAAAACAAGTTACCTGTATATAAAGATAATTAAAAATGAATCTTAATGAAAGATGGGATGGGAGACAGAGTAGGAGATGGGATAGTTTGCAGGTGGGAGGGAGGTTATGGGGGGAAAAGCTGCTATAATCCAAAAGTTGTACTTTTTAAATTTATATTTATTAAATAAAGTTTTCTAAAAAGAAAGAAAGAAAACAAATTACCTATCCTACCCTTCTGGATGGCGTTTTGTTTGTTTGTTTGTTTTTTATGAGCAAGACAGGGCAAAAAAGATTGAAAATAATCGGGTTTTTGGTGGGTTTTGTCCCCACCTTGTAACTGAATGTCAAGCTGATAAGGTTTTTATCTCTCTCCCCCAAAATTGTGCTTAAAACCTCAGTACCACCAGCCGCTTTGGGTTTTGCGTTTCTTGGAGCTCCCCTCCCCTTCCCCACCCCGCCATTCCTCTGGCTGGAGGTCTCTGACTCTAATAAATCTTGTTTTTAAATCTCTCTGCTAGTATGCTTGGAAATTCTTCCATGTGAGACAATGAACCAGGGTAATACTTTCTATGCCACCCTTTCACCCATAGCAAGGTCATCATATAATATTGCATTCATATAATAATTGAAATTTCATTAACTTTTGAAAATAATATTAAGCATATGTTTAATTTCGTTATTTGAGAAAATACTCAAAAATACCCTTTTGTTTCTACTTGCTCCAATTGACAGAATGGTACTATATGAAAAAATAAAACCTCTATACAGAAATGTAAATGATACTATTTTGCTGGTAAAATGTAGCCATCATGTAGTTGCTTCACAGAAGAAAGCAAAGGCAAGGGAAGAAGATTACAATATAAGACAGGGCAAGCCTTGAGTTTTAAGGAGAAAAAAGGGAACCAGCTCTAGCCACCACATTTGCCCACTGACCCAAACTAAAAGGGTGATGTGGACTGTGGGGAACTGAGTAAATCCAGCTTCTGCCTTTTAGAAGCCAATGTTTAGTTTTACTAATTGAAGCTAGAGTAGGCTACCTATTTCCTCAAATACCTTCCTCTTCATGATATGTCTCTGGAGAAAGTTTTCGGATAGCTTTCCCTCTGTCTACATGAGGGTTTCCATGATTACCAGGTTGAGATGGATCCGCTGGTTCACTCCCCAATTGGCCACAACAGCCATAGCTGAGCTGATCCGAAGCCAGGAGCCAGGAGCTTCCTCTGGGTCTTCCATGAGGGTGCAGGGGCCCAAGGACTTGGGCCATCTTCCACTGCTTTCCCAGGCCACAGCAGAGAGCTGGATGGGAAGTGGAGCAGCGCTCATATGGGATGCCAGCACTTCAGGCGGCAGCTTTACCACAGCGCCGGCCCCGCATCCTTTCTTAACAATAGTGAGAAACCAATGCACTTGAAAACTTTCATTCCAAGCATAAAGAATCTGTACGAAGACAATGAACTTTACAATGACAGAGGCTTGTAAATATCATGATTTCTAGTGTCTGCTTTTACTTCATATTACCCAGTAGAACACCCACCTCATATTCTCTGCGGGAACTAGTGGGTAAACAGTGAGAAAGCTAACCCTTTCTCATCTAATCAGTCTTAATTACTGAATTTCTAACCTACATTTCTAGGTCCCTGGTGTAAAACATCTGTGATGAAATAGTCCCTGTATACTTCAAACCTAAAGCATCCAAAAATGACTTAATACTCCACTCCCACTTCATCTACTGTTCCTGTTGATATTCTACCTAATGGTACCACACTCCTCATGCCTCATCCCTTATACAAATATAACCAGTATGTTTTTTTTTTCTTTAAGATTTTATATATTTAGAGGTAGAGTTGCAGAGAAAAGGAGAGACAGAGAGTTGAGACAGAGAGACAGTCTGTTGATTTACTCCCCAAATGGTCACAATGGTTGGAGCTGAGCTGATCTGAAGCCAGGAGCCAGGAGCTTTTCTGGGTCTCCCACACAGCTCCAGGGTACCAAGCACTTGGGCCATCTTCCACTGCTTTCCCAGGCACGTTAGCAGGGAGCTGGATCAGAAGTGGAGCAGCCAGGACTTGAACCAGTGCTCTGCTATGGAGTGCCAGCATCTCAAGCTGAGACTTTACCCACTGAGCCACAGTACAGGCCCCAGAATAAACAGATGCTCTTAGTCATGGACTCTTGTCCATACGTGGAGTTTCATTTCCTGCTATCTCCCAACATGTCCAAGTTTAACAAGTAGTCTGCATAGACTGGCCGTCTTTCTTCAGAGTACATGTTATGCCATCACCTGTAGTGCCCGTGATTCCACAAACATTTCCGAACTAGTTAGGTCAAGTAGTATTTCCTCAAGGAAACCATTCTTCTTTATAGCCCTCCCTCTCCCCCTACATGTATTGAATTAGGTTCCTGCCTCCACCTGGGTTCCCATAGCAACCTCTGATCAGCCACTCAAATTATAACATTCATTATGTTCTAGTGGAATAATTTGTTTGTATTTGTGTTTCCCATAAAACTGTAGGCTCCTCGAAGCTGTGGATTATATCTCGTTAATCTCTGTGTCCTAGGGCTGTAGAACACATTTAATAACATTTTGATATAATGATTATAACTGAATGCTTTCCTAGGGGAGAGTCAGAAATCTGTATGCTGAAGCAGGAGTGTATAAGATTAAACACGAGTCAATAAAAGACGGTACTTTAGAGGAGATAACCGTAGTCTGGAGTTTTGCTTTATTTGCCAAGCAGTATTCCAGCTCTTAAAAGAGAGTATATAAGATTCTATACTTCTTTTTATGACTTCTGTTAAAGCTAACACTGAGAGGTTGGATGGATAGATGAAGAGAGAGGAATAGACGCCTGTATCTTAGTGTGGGCCAGGCGTTAATCCACCAGTGATTCAATTTCATAGATGCTGTTTCACCTATTCTGATGAGGAAATTAAGGCTTAGCACAGTTTAAGATGCACTAGGGGCCAGCACTGTGGTATAGCAGGTAAAGCTGCCACCTGCCATCGTGGCATCCCATATGGGCACCAGTTGAGTCCCAGTTGCTCCACTTCCGATCCAGCTCTCTGCTATGGCCTGGGAAACAGTAGAAGATGGCCCAAGTCCTTGGGCCCCTGCCCCCTTGTGAGAGACCTCAAAGAAGCTCCTGGCTCCTGGCTTTGGATCAGCGCAGCTCTGGCTGTTGTGGCCAATATTGGGGAGTGAAACAGTGGATGGAAGACCTCTCTGCCTCTCCTTCTCTCTGTAACTCTTTCAGATAAATAAATAAATCTTTTAAAAAAAATGTACCAGGATCACACAACCACTAAATAGAATCTCAGCTCAGGGCTCTCTGATGCAATTGTTCACAGTCTTAGCTAGTTCCTGATCTTCTAGGATGTTCCCCCCACCTTATAAAACACAACCAATACCACACACATGATAATAGATTCTGTTAACACAAGCAGACCATAAAATAAGAAAAGACTTATTTTGGGGGACAGCGCTGGACTTAGTGGGTAGAGCTGCCACCTGCAGTGCCAGCATCCCACGTGGGCGCCAGTTCAAGTCCCGGCTGCTCCACTATTTTTTTTTTTTTTTTTTTTTGACAGGCAGAGTGGACAGTGAGAGAGAGAGACAGAGAGAAAGGTCTTCCTTTGCCGCTGGTTCACCCTCCAATGGCTGCCGCAGCAGGCACACTGCGCTGATCCAGGAGCCAGGTGCTTCTCCTGGTCTCCCATGGGGTGCAGGGCCCAAGCACTTGGGCCATCCTCCACTGCACTCCCTGGCCACAGCAGAGAGCTGGCCTGGAAGAGGGGCAACTGGGACAGAATCCAGCACCCCGATCGGGACTAGAACCTGGTGTGCCGGCGCCGCTAGGCGGAGGATTAGCCTAGTGAGCCGCGGCGCCAGCGAGGCAGCTCCACTTTCAATCCAGCTCTCTGCTATAGCCTGGCAAAGCAGAAGATGGCTCAAGTCCTTGGGCCCCGGCACCCGCATAGGAGACAGAGCCATTGCAGCCATCTGGAGAGTGAGCCAGTGGATGGACTACCTCTCTCTCTCTCTCTCTCTCTCTCTCTCTCTCTCTTTCTCTCCCTCCTTCCCTCGCCACCCCCCACCGCCTCTGCCTCTCTGTAACTGCCTTTCAAATAGATAGATAAATCTTTTTTTTTTTTTTAAAGACTTATTTTGGCAAAGGGGGTGTTTAGCTTAGTAGTTAAGATGCCTGGATTCCACATCAGTTCGATTCCTAGCTTGAGTTCTTGATTCCAGCTTAATGCAGACCCTGGGAGGCAGTATTAATGGCTCTAGTAATTGGGTTCCTGCAACCCCCATGGGAGACCTGGGCTGTGTTCCCAACTCCTGGCTCTGGCCATTGTCCAGCCCCAGCCATCTCAGGTATTTGGGAAGTGAACCAGAATATAGTCATTTCTCTCTCTTTCTCTCTCCCCAACCCCGGTCATTCTGCCTTTCAAATACATAAAAATAATAAATAAATGTTTTTCAAAATAAAAGCCAGGAAATAAAGAGGTATTTTTTTTGACAGGCAGAGTTAGACAGTGAGAGAGAGAGAGAGAGAGAGAGAGGGGTCTTCCTTTTCCATTGGTTCACCCCCAAAATGGCCACTATGACTGGCGCGCTGTGGCCAACGCACTGCGCCTATCCGAAGCCAGGAGCCAGGTGCTTCTCCTGGTCTCCCATGCGGGTGCAGGGCCCAAGCACTTGGGCCATCCTCCACTGCCTTCCCGGGCCACAGCAGAGAGCTGGACTGGAAGAGGAGCAACAGGGACAGAATCCGGCGCCCCAACCGGGACTAGAACCCGGGGTGCCAGTGCCACAGGCGGAGGATTAGCCAAATAAGCCACGGCACCGGCAGAGGTATGATTTTTTTTTTAAATATTTATTTTATTTATTTGAAAGACAGTTACAGAGAGAGGTAGAGACAGAGAGGTCTTCCATCCACTGGTTCACTCCCCAGATGGCCGCAATGGCTAGAGCTGAGTCAATCCAAAGCCAGGAGTCAGAAGCTTCCTCCGGGTCTCCCATGTGGGTGCAGAGGCCCAAGGACTTGGACCATCTTCTACTGCTTTCCCAGGCCATAGCAGAGAGCTGGATTGGAAGAGGATCAGCCGGGATTAGAACCGGCACCCATATGGGATGCTGATGCTTCAGGCCAGGGCTTTAACCCGCTGCACTGCAGTGCCAGCCCCAAGAGGTACGATTTTATAATCTAGTTCTTACATATACTAAAACAGGAATGTCTGCTTTGGACAGACAAGTGTGTTGCTAAATCTATACCTGTGGCCGGCACCGCAGCTCACTAGGCTAATCCTCCACCTGCAGCGCCGGCACCCCAGGTTCTAGTGCCGGATGGGGCGCCAGATTCTGTCCCGGCTGCTCCTCTTCCAGTCCAGCTCTCTGCTGTGGCCCAGGAAGGCAGTGGAGGATGGCCCAAGTGCTTGGGCCCTGCACCCGCATGGGAGACCAGGAGGAGGCACCTGGCTCCGGGCTTCGGATCAGTGCAGCGCGCCAGTCATAGTGGCCATTTTGGGGGTGAACCAACGGAAAAGGAAGACCTTTCTCTCTGTCTCTCTCTCTCACTGTGTAACTCTGCCTGTCAAAAAAAAAAAAAATAAATAAATAAAAGAAAAAAATCTATACCTGTGACAGCACAAAGAAAAGAAGGCCGGGCATAGAATCCAGCCAGAGGGCAAGCAACACAGTGACACCAGGGCAAGCAATGTGTAAAATCTTTGTGACTCTGATGCCTCATTTTGAAAATGAATACATAAGACTTTTTGACCCCTAGAAAAAAGGGGGCACCTTCAGAATTCAGAACAATATACCTGGAAAAAAATCCATGGCTGGGGTAAAATTGTTATTACCAAAGGGTCTTCTGTAGCTGTTTAACTTCTTGTGTCAGTCAGGAAGGCTAAGATAAAGAAGTAGGTGTCATTTGTAGTTTAGGTTTCTTCTAGAAGGTGCTATGCTACAGATTCAGTCATATCATCATGAAGTGGGTGACAATTTGCCTCCCACTTTGGTTGCCTGCATCTCGGGGTGCCTGAGTTCAACACTCAGCTCCAGCTCCTGACTCCTAATTCCAGTGTCCTGCTACCGCCAGCTCTGGGAGGCAGCCGTGATGGTTCAAGTAATTGGGCTCCTTCCACCCGTGTGGGAGACCTGGACTGGGTTTCCTTCTTTCAGCATTGGCCTTGACCCAGCCCCAGCTGTTGTCTGGCACTCCCACGTGTCAATACTCCTTGGAGTATGGGATTCAACTGTGGCCGACCAGAATGCTGTCTAGCTGGGGAAGGATGCAGACCCCACCATCCCACCGTGCTGGCAGAGAAATATATACGCAAGTCTGGGAATAAAATCTTTTGGAGAACTTGGACACAGAAGAATGGCGAATCTCCAATACTCTTCCCTTTACTCCCCCTAGTCATCATGTCCAACTTTCTTGGGTTCCTGTGCCTGTTCCTTTCTTACAGATCCCTCTTCCCTATTTTCTTTCTCCCGTAATCTTTCTTTCTTCTGATTGACTTACTTATTTGAAAGGCAGAGTTACAGAGACACGGAGAGACGGAGAGACAGAGATCTTCCATCTGCAGGTTCACGTCCCCAAATGTCCTTAACCGCCAGGGCTGGACCTGGCTCAAGCGGGGAGCCAGGAGCTCCCTCAGGGTCTCCCACTTGGGTACTGGGGCCGAAGGATTTGGATCAACTTCTGCTGTTTTCCCAGGCGTACCAGCAGGGAGCTGGATCTGAAGTGAAGCAACTGGGATCGACCAGAGCCTGTAGGGGATGCTGCCGGAGCCTATATGGGATATTGCCGCAGGCTGCAGCGCCGCCCCCGCTCAATGTTTCTTAAGATAAAAAGGGGTTTTGGCCGGCGCCGTGGCTCACTAGGCTAATCCTCTGCCTTGCAGCGCCAGCACACCGGGTTCTAGTCCCGGTTGGGGCGCCGGATTCTGTCCCGGTTACCCCTCTTCCAGGCCAGCTCTCTGCTGTGGCCATTGGAGGGTGAACCAACAGCAAAGGAAGACCTTTCTCTCTGTCTCTCTCTCTCACTGTCCACTCTGCCTGTCAAAAAAAAGGGGGGGAGGGGTATTTTCTTGCTCTTTCAAATGTCCTTTTCTATCTGTGCCCCTTATGTTTTTCTTTCAGTCAGGCAGCCAACACTGTTGTGAAACGAGGCTTCCAGCAGAGGAGCCAGTGGTGATTACTGCAGGCCTTAAAGATACTGACGGTTTGGCACCTGCTCCGCTGGACCCTTCTCAAACCCAGGGGTGCCTCAGCCCCAAGGGAGAGCTCTTGAGACCGTCCCTGAGTCCCTCCCCCAATCGGGGGCGTGGCTTCGCCGCGGCGGCCTTCGTCCCGGATTGGCTCCGAGGGTCCGGCCTCTCGGCCAATCAGGCGCGGGGGCGTTGTCGCGGAGCCGGGCTCTGGGCTCCCTCGCAGCGAACTCGAACTCGGGGACTCCCCACGCGCGGCGCTCACTGGGGCCTGACTGCTCCCGTGCCCCTTCCACCGCTTCTGTCTCCCGGCCAGGGGCGCAGGCTGAACATGGCCTCAGCCACGGCGGCAGCCGCAAGACGGGGCGTAAGCCAGGCTCCCCTGCTGCTCCTTCGGCGCGGCTACCAGACCGAGCGGGGCGTCTACGGCTACCGGCCCAGGAAGCACGAGAGTCAGAGTCTCCGGAGCGGCCTGGCGCGCCCCCAAGGTGGGGCTGGGGCCCAAGGGTGGAAGCTGGGGATCCGGGGGGCGTCCCCCTTAACGTGAGTTGCGGGTGGGTGCCGTTGTAGGAGGCATCGGAGCTCCGGCACCGGCCGCTGGCCTGTGAGGAGGACGGGGGTGGGGGCGGACGCGGGTACCGTGCCCCCAGCCCCGTCGTCCATCGTCTTCGGTTCCGCGCTCCGCGGTCTCCTCCTCTTCCTCGCTCTGTCCTGGTTTGGGAAGAGGCTGGGCCGTTCCGTCACTGCTACGCGAGCACGTGGGAACTTGGCTTTTTGTGAGGGCTGTGGGGGAAGAAAAGTTCTGAGATAGCTCGGCCCCTGGAGTTAAGCTGACGACACATGGATGCTTTTCCAAGGCCAACGCGAGAGCGGGGCGGCGTGGGGTGCAAGTGCGGCCTCTTGGGAAAAGAGGACATAAAGTTCGTGATCTTAGGACCGCAGCTCGGTATTTATTATCCAGGCCTGGGTTGGCTTTTAACGTTAATTTCGGAGTTTAAAACTCCTTGCTGAACTTTTAACCATTGTTTTAAACATGAATATCAGGGATGTTTGTTTGTTTAGGACACTCTGTTACATGCTTATATGTTAGAGACTGGTTTTCAGTGTGTGTTTTATACTGATTTTCTGTGTGTGTTTTATAACCGGCGCCCATATGGAATGCCAGCATTGTAGGCGGCGTCTTAACCCATTAGGCCACAATGCTGGCTCCTGGCCTTTTCATCTTATACCACACACTAGAACCTCAATATTTTGCTTTTCAGCTCAGTGGACATTTACAATGAACCTCATTTCTCCCTCAAGCTCAATGGGGTTTCTTTAGGAAAGACTTTTTTTGCCAACTAAATTGTTGTCTCCCATGCAGGTGCAGGGGCCCAAGAATTTGGGCCATCTTCTACTGCTTTCCCAGTCTATAGGAAAGAGCTGGGTAGGAAGTGGAGCAGCCAGGACGCGAACTGGTGCTCATATGGGATGCTGGCACTGCAGGCAGTGGCTTTACTTGCTACGCCACAGCACCAGTCCCCACTGATTAACTTTTTAAATACAACAGCCAGGGCTGGGCCATGCTGAAGCCAGGAGACTAGAACTCCATACAGGTCTCCCATAAGGGTGGCAGGGGCCCAAGCACTTGAGCCTTCATCCACTATCTCTCAGGATGGGTTAGCAGGAAGCTGGATCAAAAATGAAGGAACTAGAACTGGAACGGGCACTGCAATATGGGATGCTGGCATCACAAGCAGCAATTTAACTCTCTGTACCACAACACTTGCCCCAGGAATATATGTTTTTTTATTAGGGACCCTAGGTGATTTCAATAGGAAGTCCATGGCCACCCTTGGCCAACACTGTTCTGGTCATGAGAGATGTGTGTGTTGGACAAGTTTGACAATCCCTTCTTCATTTGACATCCTGTGAGTGTGTGCTCATTGCACAAGTGTGTGCTGTCCTTGGAGGTTTTCCCTCAGAACGGGAGTCTGTGTGTGACTTCTGTTAACATCTTCACAGCTGAGAAGTAAGCCTTGCCTTGGAAAAACCAGGACATTGGTTTTCGACTTGCTAAGATTGAGGAGTATCAGAATTGTTGTGGGAGCTTTTGGGCTGGTTTGAAAAATCTCTGGAGTTGATTTTATATATAAACATTCCCTCTTCCTTCATCACCAAATTGTCTCCCACCTCCTGGCTAGTAGTGAACCTGCTGTCTTTTGAGGTGCTTGGTATTGAGTTAGAATAGCAGGCCAAGAGTAGGATCTTTTTGTCCTGGGAGGGGCCAGCAGAGTCAGTACTGGATGGCACTGTGTGTGGCACTGTTGCAGGATCTGTCTTAAGGAGTTTTGTTGCTAAGAGTAATGCTTTTTTTTTTTCATTTTCCTTATTTAAAAAACATTTTGAGTAAACCTTAAAGGCAAGTAGGCCACTTTGTAACTTTCTGTTGCATGTAGCTCCACGACAAGTTTTTCTGTTTCGGAAAAATTCCTTTGTCATAACTCTTTTTGTAGATCGTTATGTCTTAGACATCATGTGGGAGACAGGACGAGGGTTAGTTGCTTGTACAGGTTGAGTATCCCTTATCCAAAATGTTTGGGATCGGAAGTGTCCCAGAATTTGGATTTTGGAATATTGGTATAGATTTTGCTGGTTGAGCATCCCTCATCTTAAAATTCAAAATTCAAAATCCACAACCTTTTGAGTGCCAGTGTAATTGAAGGAGGGTTGTGTCTACAAAGGCTGCCTCTTAAGAGCCACCTGCTACTTGCTTCCATGTCTTTAACCTTGCAAGCTCTGCATCTTAGGCCCTGAGACAGCAGAAGAGACAATATCTTCTGTTTGCAGAACCAAATTTCCCTACATCTCTGCTTGCAGGCTAGGCAGCTGCAACTTGACCTCATCTTTCTGCAGGGCTTTCCTGCAGTAATAAGAAACAAAGAGTACACACTACTAAACTGTAACCCCACAGGCATGTGTTCCACCTTACAGGATATTGTAAGTGACAGCTTTACCAATAGCACTGCTCATCAGCTTTCTGGGCAGAAATATCTGTCTCCTTTCTATCTACTGCCTGACTGAGAAGCCAGGATCCTTTGTATTTCAGATTCTGTATTGATAGTAACCCACCTCCAGCACAAAATTCTCTATTAGAGAGGATGAGTTCAGGTGTGGTGACAGAGACCTGAAATAACAATGGCCTAAATAAGTAAAAATCTGAGCTGGTATGACTGCTTTGCCTGCATAGTCACAGGGTTCAAGTTCCTTCTGTATTTTTCCTTCACTGTCCTGTGGGTATTGTGCTCACCCCTGGTCATGGATGGCTCTATATCCACACACTGGCCAGCAGCAAGGAGAAAACATCTGTTTTGGGGCCAGCGCTATGGCTTAGCAGGTGAAGCTGTTGCCTGCAGTGCCATCATCCCACATGGGCACCAGTTCGAGTCCTGGGTGCTCTATTTCCGATCCAGCTCTCAGCTATGGCCTGCAAAATCAGTAGAAGATGGCCCAAGTCCTTGGGCCCTTGCACCTGCTTGGGAGACCTGAAAGAAGCTCCTGGTTCCTGGCTTCAGATTGGTGTAGCTCCGGCTGTTGTGTCCATTTGGGGAGTGAACCAGCAGATGGAAGACCTCTCTCTCTCTCTCTCTCTCTCTCTGCCTCTGCCTCTCTGTAACTCTGCCTTTCAAATAAATACATAAATCTTTAAAATAAAATAAGCATCCGTTTCCTTCTAGGTACTTTCTCCTTCACCAGCACTTAGTCCTTACTCTGGCTGCATGGAAAGCTAGGAGATGGATCTTTCTTCTTGGTGGCCATATTGCCAACTATTTGTTCTGGAGAAGGGAGAATGGGGCTTGCGAATTAGAGCAGTCTCTGATCCCGATGTGTTACAGAAATCTGAGTCAAACAATCTACGTTCAATCTTTTCACTTTATACTTCACACAAAATCCCAAGCCTTACAAATCCCGGTCTCTCAAAGCCTTGCTTTCTTATGCACATATTTTTGCCCTTTTGGGTCCTCTCTCAGGCCCTTAGTTCTAATCTACTGCAAAAAAAGAATTAGCTCATGGGTTCTTGGTTCCCTGTGAAAAGATTTCAGAGGGTCTGTGTGCTGTGCACAGTCCTGTATATGTATGTGTTTCTAAGTAAAGTTATCCGTGACTTCAGAAAGGTAAAATTGCTAGCCTGATGGGTATTGTAATTTATAGCCTATAGCCTGGTTCCCTTCTTGCTTGTTCAACTCTTTCTTTTTTTATTTTTTTTAAAGTTATAGGTTTCTTTAGTTATGATAGTGCTTGTGTGTGTGTGTTGCTTTTTTTTTTTTTGAAATATTTATTTATTTATTTGAAAGATACACAGAGAGAGAAGGAGTGGCAAAAAGAGGAAGAGAGAGAGAGGTCTTCCATCTGCTCCCAACTGGCCACAGTGGCTGGAGATGTGCTGATCCAAAGCCAGGAGCCTGGAGCCTCTTCCAGGTCTCCCACGTGGGTGCAAGGGCCCAAGGACTTGGGCCATCTTCTACTGCTTTTCCAAGCCACATAAGAGAGCTGGGTCTGAAGTGGAGCAGCTGGGACATGAACCAGCACCCATATGGGATATCGGCACTGCAGGTGGTGGCTTTACCCACTATGCCACAGCACCGGCCCCTCAAATCTTTCTAAAACATTGGTTTTGCTGTGTCATTTTGGTCGTCAAAGGCTCAACTTTGCATTTCAGAGTAAAACCCAAGTTCTTTTACTTGATATTCATGTTTTTTTTTAAAGATGTATTTATCTATTTCAAAGTCAGAGTTACAGAGAGAAAGAGAAAGAGAGAGAGAGAGAAAGAAATCTTCCATTTTCTTGTTCACTCTCCAATTGTCAGGGCTGGGGCCAGGCTAAAGCCAGGAGTCGAGAGCTTCTTCTAGGTTTTCCACATGGGTAGCAAGGGCCCAAGCACTTGGGCCATGCTCCATTGCTTTTTCCAGGCCATCAGCAGGGAGCTGGATCTGAAGTGGAGTTGCTGGGACATGAGCTGGCACCCACATGGGATGCTGGCGTCACAGGTGTCAGCTTTACCTGCTATGCCACATTGCCAGACCCCTATTTCTTTATTTTTGAAGACTTTGTTTTGTATTCCCTTCAGTTCTATACTTAACTGAATACTTATTAAATGGCTTATTGCTAAGAAATGGAAATGGTATTCTGTATATGCAGTTTATTTGTGACATTTAGTGCATTTGAATTTTGCATGTACAATCATAACACTGTATCAAGAAAGGATGCCATTTATATATATTGGGAAATGCGTTATTAAGACTCTGGGTTTTCCTTAAATTCTATGTAAATGTCTGCTTTGGTCAATTCTGCTAATTAGAATAGGAGGTTGATGAGGCTAAGGACATGGTTTGAATGACTTTCGTGTTTTTCATTATGTCTGCCAGTTGTCATGAAAGGGACCATCTTGGTTGGGAAGAATGCTTGAGTTAGTGCAATGGATCCTGTGGATACATTTTGAGTACTAGCA